CACTAACCCAGCACTGGCAAGTACACCATTAAACCATGTTCCAAGTGCCATGTCTGCATATCTTTAAATTTCCTGCAGGGATGGTTTCTCCACCATTTCTCTCATTCCAATGCTTGGCAACCTTTTTGGTGAAAAAATATTTCTTGATATCTAATCTAAATTTCCCCTGTAACAATTAAAGTTTCCTCTTGTTCTATTGCTTATCACTTGGGAGAAGAGACCAATTCCCACCTCCCTCACTCCTTTCAGGCAGCTGTAGTGATAAAGTGATAAAGTCTCCATTGAGCCTCCATCTCTCCTGGCTAAACAACTCCAGCACCCTCAGCTGCTCCTCATAGGAGTTGTGGTCCAGACCTTTCATCAGCTTTGGTGTCTTTCTTTGGACATGCTCCAGCACCTCAATATCTTTCTTGTATTTTCTCCTGACCTGGTGCCACTTACTCGTTTACATTTAAAAACTGAAGGAACTCAGTCAATGTCACATAATGTGCATTTTTTTCCTGGTTAAGTGTATATCCAACCTACCAGTCTTCTTTTCCTTTTAAATAAGGGCACCTTTGATAAAATCTTGAAGAGAAAATTACATGTGTTTTAAGATTTCAAAAATACCTTTCTAATATGTGGAAAGATTTCCTCAAGTCTGGACTAGGTCTCTGCCTGCACTGGATGAGAATAGAAGGCTTCTGCATTCCTCTTTCCTTCCTTCCTTCCTTCTTCCGCATGACCAAGCTGCCTTCTGCAGGATTCAATTCCTGACTGTGAGAAGCAGCATAGCCTTCAGCCAGGGAAGGCTGTCTTCCCCAGACCCCTGTTCTGATGGGTGCAACACATTGTCTTAGGCTCAATTCCTCATCCCAGTGTCATCACAGCACAGTGAAAGATGGGTTTCCAGTACCACCAACTGAATCGGCTATCATGTCTTTCTTTTAGAAACCAAATCCAAGCAGAATAAGCAAACCCAACAATTTAAGATACAGATTTGAGATATAGATCTACCTCTTCTGGCCAAAACAAAGCTATTTGGTTTTTATGAGGGTTAATGTATAATCTCTCTGAATTTCATTAATTTTTAATCACTTCTCTCTCACTTCCTTTCAATACTTTACAGGGGGCTTGTAAGAAAAATGGGTATAGAACTTTCAGCAGGGCTGTTGCAATAGGATAAAGGGTAATGGTTTTGTGCCGGGGTTGGCTGTCAATTGTCTCTGTCCCAGCACGGGAAAAGGTGGTTCTGGGCAGGCCGCGCTCTCAAAGAAGGAATCTGGACGCTTGCTTTTCAGTCTTCAGTTGAGTTTATTGTTCCTTATCTACAAAGTTTTTCTGTCAGAGAGCAGTTAACTTGGTCTTCCTGTTGGGTCTTTCTCTGTTGCTCCTGAAAAGGCATCATCACAGGTCACAAGGATGCACTACCTGAGTGTACAAATGCCACAGACCCAGGCTGCTGCTGTTTTGTGAGGAGGGTGTCAGTCCCCCATTTATCCTCCCTTATAGTATAGGTAGCAACATACTCTTTCCCATGGTTCTTTTGTAGCTATCTGCTGAGGAACACAGAATAACTATTTCAGGATTAATTAAGTTTTGTTCCAAAGCTTACTAAATGTTGGCAGCAATGCTTTTGTCATTTCTAAGCCTATAAATGGACAATTTGAATAAAATAAATATTCTACAGACTTGTATTTCTAAATAGATCTTTTGAGTCTACCAGACTGTGTTTTGGTTAAATAAACCAAAACACACAGTTCTTCATTATTCAGTCAAGCTTTGCACTTTCTGTGCACACCAGCTTTTTAATGTGAACTGGCTGCACAGAACTTGGTGGGAGCTGGAGAGCTGGATGACTCTTGACTTCTGCATCATCTCATTTCTACCATGCCATCACAGCAAGCAAATAGAGATTACAAAGTGAAATGTACCATGCATTTCCTCCATGCACTCTTCAACAGCTCTTGCTTCAAAGTACACCAACAAAAGGTCAGGTGTCATTGCAACAAAGTGAGTAGCATCAGCCTCACTGATTTGAGGATCTTCTACAAAGCTTCAAAATGTGCAGTGAATTATAAACACTAACTATTTCAAAGATGACATTTTCACCAACACAGTTTAGGACAGTCTGGATTCTCTCTCTTTGGGTATTCAAACATCTGAAAACATTCTGCAGATCACAATTAATGTTTCGAGCTGAAGCACAGTCTCAGCACATCCAGTACTTCACATGTCTAATTGCAACAGCTGTGGTTTTATTGACCCATCTTATATTGCATACAACATATTAACATCTCTTCTGCGCAGTGGAATTTTAATCTAGAAGTGACCAGCATTTAGTCTTACTTGCTGCATTTGTGCCCTTGTTTCTAGAGACCATCATCTTTAGGCAAACAATTCAAACCAGCTGTCTTTGATATTTATAAATATGTTTGCTAAATTTAAAAAAAAAATAGAGGAATGTAAAGTTAGTAATTTCATTTATATTTCATCAGATTATTGCTGTAAGTAGTGGCTTCCATCAAAATAGCCTCAACTAATTCCCAATCAATAAATCATGAGCAGTTATATTTCTCTGCTCGCCATCCCAAATGGTAATCTTCTTGTCAGTGTCTTCATGAGTGTTACTGACTGTAACCCCAGAAATAATGTTAAAAGCAGTGACTTTCTGGTAGCTCTGGGTTCCCTGCCAAACTCCAGCTGTGAATGCACTGCATTTTTTCATATCTCTAGCACTGCTTTCCATGCCAGTCAAAAATACTAGCACTAACACCCAAAAACTACTGTCATACAACTATGTCCACTCCTAACATAAAAAACTCTCTCAGTAACTTTTTGTATGGTAAAAACCAATATGGCTCTGTTTTTGCCAAATACTATCTACAAATACTACTACAGGGTAGACTTAAAATATGCATTACTTGTAGTTCAACAGTTACTATTTTTAAAAAATATAGTTAAAATAAATTCTTATCTTAAATCACTGTATATGGCTCAAGATTACAGTTCTATAACAGCAGTCCCATGGCAGGAATCAACAGCCACTTAATGCACTGAAAACTCACACCAGGCTGAGTCAGAATTTTAAGAACTGAAGAATTATATTCTTTCAATCCCTTCTTTCATTATGGAGGTCAAGTCCTTAAGCTCAAGACTACAAGAAACCCAAGTGGTGGATGGAGGGGAAAAGCTGATGACAGGCTTTTCAGACAGAAATAATTTTTAGTTTGATGCTAGCAAACAAGCTTGTTAATTGTTATGACTGACTTTTTTTTTTTTAAGTGAAATTCTTGACATGTTAGGTTTGGTACAAGAAGTATTTACATAGAATAAAAAACTATTTATGTAACAGAAAAAGGGAACATATATCGCAGTGGCAGTCCAATAATTTACTAGTATCAGAGAACCGAAGAAAGCTTAACCTGACAAAATACTTCATTCAGAAATGTGGTACACAATAAGTGGTTTTATTAATTATTTAAGCTCTGTGTTGAAAAAACAATGGAACCAGAATCAGGTATTAGAAAACTGACATATAAACATAACTAAACCTCCTTGTGTCACTGTTATCCAACTTCATAAAATAGTCTGATTCTACCTTTGATGCTCTGTCACTCTTGGCAAGAATTAATCTTCAGCTTGTGTTTTTTTAAACAAGCACAGCTCATTTTCTTTTGTTGTCTTCAGATTTTTTAAAAACTCTTCCTTCAGATTTTTTAAAAACTCTTTACTGGAATGTTTCTCTCATCATAGAACATAGGAATTGTTACTTCCCGATCCCCTTACTACGAGACCCTTAATAGCAGTACTGAGTGTTATACAACTGAAGCCCTTCCAGCCAATGGAGGCGGGATGTAAAACAGTTGAGACAGCAAAGGGTCATTAACACTCTGGAGCTTACAGTTCTGGAAACCTCAAAGCCTTTTACCCCATCACAAAACCTCACATCCTTCCTACACCCAACATATATTTTCACACACTCTTTAGTTATCAATTCACTTCCAAATTTTTCTTGCTCTCTACCCAAATGCAGATTGTCTTAAAAGCTATATAGAATTTTGTGATACAGATTGTGTGACTATATAGAATTTTGTGATATAGATTGTATGAAAAGCTATATAGAATTTTCACCCAATCATATGTCTAACCAAAGTGTCTCTCTGTCAAGCGAGACTTTAATCATTCTCTTCTCCTCCCACCATCTATTTTTCCAGCATCACTCCATCCCTGTTCTGGCTCATCTTGTTTTGACTCACATGAACCTAAATGGATTCACCTCACTGACCACCAGGCTGCTGCTAATTTCAGTCACATTATCTTGGTCCTGCCACTGCTACAGCATTTACAAATGGCCCATCTTGATCTTCCTTCCCTAGCTCCCTGTCTACTCACGCAGTTGCTCTTTGCAGTCAGAAGTGTCTCATCTCAGCTACCAAAGGCAGCTTCTTCCTCCTTCCACTGCCTCTACCTGGCAAGAAAGCATCTTCTTCCATTTCCACCAGCTAAAGTGGCTCACCACTGAAGCAGATGTGTCACATCTGGGCTCAGCCTGTCTCTAGCTTGCCTAACAAGTTCCCAAGTGTGTGGAGTAAGGCAAGTGTTTGCAGGGGACTACTACAGGCCCCTGAAAGAGAGCCTGTCTAGTAGTGCCAAGCCTGTGGCTTCAATCCGTGTATGGGCCATTCACTGGACAGGTGCACCCGATGATTCTTACGGGTTCCTTTCAATTCAGAATATTCTGTGAAATGGGAGACATGGCACTAGGATCCTGAGGGGGGCTGCTCGCCTGTCTCACCTTGAAACACCGCGGGTGTTTCAGGGGCACGCTCAACTCTGGCCACGTAAACCCGACTCCAGAGCTGCGTGCCACAGCGGTGCCCTGCGAGCGGCACCGACACAGGCCCGGCCGGGCGATCCCGCAGCCCGGCAGCGCTCCGGGGTCGCGCCGCGTCTCCCCGCAGCCGCCGCCATTCCCGTGTTTTCATTCTTGTCCAGTGTGTGTGAGAATTGTCCGGGCTCTCAGTGTCCTGTCTTCTCCCTGGAGAGCACACCGCTCCCCACACTGCTTCCGCACCGCGACCCCTACGCCATCCCTGAGGGAGGATGGAATGTCTCTGAAGGGCTTCTGCAGTTGCTCTGGCGTGCCGTACTCTGGTGGCTGATGCTGGCGTACAGCTGGGACGGCACGGGTGAGGAGGTTCAGGGGCTGCTCCGTCAAGGAGAGGTGATGGAGAGGTTGCCCTGCATCTCTCCTTGCTCCGACATGATGCTTGGCAGCTTTTGGGGCATGGGTCATCTTCCTGAAGATCTTACTGTGACTAAGAAGACTAAGTGACTTAGAATAGACTCTGCCTGATGGGCTGGTGCATAAGGAGGGATGTGCCATGGAATGCTGCTTTTCCTAAATGGAGTAGAGCTGAATTGCTTGTCTGTTAAATTGTCTGACTTAATGCCCCAGGCTAGCCTCAGAAAACTGGGATAGGATGGCTTTAGGTAGCTTTTGGAGCCCTGCATTTCCCTGATAGTCACCATGGCCTGTCCTCTGGTCAAAGATCTGTAAATCTTTTTGTCTTGTGCCTTTTGCTGCTTTGAGATAAATCATCCCCCTGGGATAGACCTTCCTGTGAATTTCCAGAAACTGGTCTGTCATGTGTTACCTGTTTGAAAGACCTCAGCTCTGGTGTTAACAGTTATTGGTCTGCTTTCTCCCTGGACTTCCTGCAGGTTCTCCAGAATATAGGAGCTGATTTGCCACAGCTCTTGTGTGCTACTAGTGTGTCATGTAAAAAGCATCCTACCAACAAGTATGGGACCCTTCAGAGCTCATTTTTGAATCTAGGTGCTGTCCTAGTCGCCTGCATGGCTCCAGTGAGTGGGTTACCAAGCTTTGCTTTGCAAGCTCCTTGCTGTTTGAACAGACTTTTGGGGTCCTCCTGTCCAACTGTGGTGTCAGTATTCTTCCTGGTGAAGTGAGTGAGGGACATTTGTGGACCATCTTTTACTGTAGCTGCTTTTTTCTTGTAGCCCACAGGGACACAAATTGGCAGCTTTGCAGAATGCAGCTCCCTCTGGCACAATCAGAATCCCTGATTTGTGCTGATTTGTAGTAAGAAAGATCTTGGTGCACATATCTCTGCAGAGTGCGGGATTCATCCCACTTTCTGGAATTTCCTACTGCAGCTGCTTTCCAGTACTTCTCCAGGTGGCTCCTGCCCCACCTGCAATGGTCATAAATAACAGCACAGCATTACTCTTCCTATACTGTAAACTGAAAAAAATAATTTTGTTGACCCCTATGGGCAGAGTTCTTGTGGCATCCACTCCCAGCTTAGAAATCTTTATACACACTGTCTAAATCTTGAAATATTTTATGATATCTAAGTTATATGTTCTGTGAGATAAGAGCACTGTCAGGTACTAATTGGTGACTACATACATAAGAGACCAAATTGCATGTATTTGGCATCTCAGAACTTGTTATTGCTTGTAGTTTTGTTTCTTAAAAGCAGAAAACTGAAAGTGTGTCCTGTTGGGCATTTCCCACTAGCTCTTCAAATAAGTAGTTAAAAATACCGTGGGGAGGGAAGATTGTTAGAATGAAGGTTGCACATTACAATTTAGTTTAACCAGCTGTAGTCATGGATGAGTGTCTCTGAATGCCAAGTTAAGAGTCCACTCCAAAATCCAAAAACTTGGATTTAATGAAGAAGATGGTGTGGGTATAGAAGCAGCTATGAACAAAGAAGGAAATTCAGACATGGGGAGCCATTAGTGTTTTGATGTGGAAGTTAAACTGAATGAAGTTGAGAGCATTTTTCCTTACAAGTAGCTTGACCAATAAAGAGTCATGGTTTAATTTGAAACCTAGGGGAAAAAATAAAATACCACCAAAATAATAGCTCAGTGGCAATGGCATCTTCCCAGTGGTGGTTCAAAACTTGGAAGCTAAGGTGAAAAAATGGAAAAATTAAAGTTCTTGAAAGGATGGCTTATAAATTCCAATGGCATTTCCATTGTGGACTACAACTGGCAGAGTATATAGTTTTTGTAATAACAGAGACTAGACCTGAACCTTCTGCGTGGAATTGTGTGCTTTTGCAAGCTACAAGAAGGGGAAGGATAAAACAGAGGGGCAGCAGTGTTTTCATTCTTACAATGCTTTTCTTTAATTCTCTTCCTGAATTCATAACGTCTGCATGAAGCTATCAAATTTCATAAGATTAAGGGGAGTAAATTCATAGTCCTGGTGTTTGCAGTGGAAATCTTGGAAAATATAAATTCTGAAGGCTCAGGAAGTATTTTTTTCAGTGGAGCTGTCCGTAATGTGAAAGTTGTAATATGAGTGTTACACAGAAAAATTACAAGAAATTGTGAAGTTATTTCCTGTTCTAGATACCTGGCATAGGCCTGACTTACAAAAAGGTAAAGCACTATATCATTTAAGTTGAGTTTATAACCAGACTCTTTTATAAGCTATGTTTCCAATTCCCTCTTCCTGTCATACTTAACAGCTTCTGCACTACTGGGCTATGTTATAATGGTTTCTGAGATGTTATTTCCATGTCTGCTTTCAGACTTGAGTTTAATATGAAGGGAAAATTCCTTTACATCAATAATGCCTGTGGAGATATGAGATCTAGTGGCAGTATTTCAAGCAGATAGACAATAAAATACTTGCCTCTTTGTTAAAATACTTTTTATTGAAACACAGGAAATAAACGTAATCTTGCTTTGAGTTTTCTGATAAAATTTCATGGTAGTGTAAATGAAAATTAGTCCTCCATTGGATTTTCCAGCATAAAATCTATTGCTTTCATCCTCAAAGCCACAAGACTGTTCTGATTATTCCTTCTTTGTGGCCTGAGAGAATGAAGAAAATGTGTCCATATTTAATTTCTAATGTGTGTTTTAGCTTAATCTCCTAACAGCAAGATTGGTGGAAGAGAAGCAGGCACTGTGATGGAGTAAGGAGGACAAGTCTCTAGACTTTTCTTTTTGCCTTCACATTATTTCATTTTGTTTTGATTTGCTTGTATTTAAGACTATGTTTTCTTCCCTAGTGGGAACTGCAGAGAAAGGATTCAGAGTTCTCTGTAGAGTGTTGGTGTTATAATAGTTATTGTACCTCTGCAGAAAGGTATCTCAATATGGTTGTGTCTGAAACCAGGCTTTGCTGGGATTTATTTATGTATATGTGTTTGTGTGTGTGTTTCAGAGATGTTTTACTCAGCTATGTACATTTAGTAAGTCAGAAAACCTGAGCCAGCTCAGATAATTTGTAAGAATGGGGCATATACAGTTATCAGAAAGAATTTTATTAACTTAGCAAAGACTGCTGAAATCGAAGAGGTGACCATTCAATCTGTGTTTTTCTGCCCAGAAGTAGAGCCTTCAGACTGACTTCAGCTCATGCAGTAGTGAAAGTGTAATGGGCTAAACATCTTCAGTTTGAAATCAATCAGGAATTGTTAAATTTTTTTAGGGTTTTTTTCTTGTTTGTTTTAGGGTTGGTTTTTGGGGTTTTTTTTTCATGACATGCTGTCCTATCTTTAGTGCTCTTTATTACTTTTTTTTTTTCCCAGAGTGAATCTACTCTTCTACCAAGGGACCCTCAATTAGCAGTTTTTCAAACTGTAGAGGGTTCTCAGCAGACTGAGTTCAAAACACTGAAGAAGCACTTAGCAGTCACAGGTTACAAGTTAACTGCGCACAGTAATGGGAATGCATTAAGGGGTGGTCCCTCAGTTTTGCTGTTGAAGATGGCCAGCTAATAGACTTGGTTGCTTCCTGCAGTGGCTACCTTGCTGTGTTTCCTTGCCTCTCAGACCTTGTGCTTCTTGAGCCTTTCACCTGTGTGATGCACTCTACATTCACCTGTGCTCTTGGGGGGGCTGGTTTGATGTTCAGCAGTAGAACATGTAATAATTTCATCATTCATGTATCTGCTCAGCCAGTTCTTTAACTGGATTCTACACTTAAAAGTGGCTGAGTAGTGACTCAGATTACCTTGCATTGCAGGTAAATAATTATGTGTTTGAGTCACTAGTGGGTTCTATGGTTGTGTTTTGTTTTCATCCCAGTGGGCAGTACAGTTACTGGCAAATGACACAAACCTTGTTTTGGCTGGCACATGTTCAACAGATTGCTTCCAGAAATCACATAGTACCTTGTTTTTCTTGTGGAATAAGTGTTCAAGAGGCATCCGTAGTAAGGATCCAATCTGATTTGATGTTTTATGTTCAAGTCATCTGAATTAGTTGCAGGACAGTAGAAACTGATAGAGAAAAGGCTGAAGGTAACTAGCAAACAGCTGTAACAGCAGTAACTAAGCTGGTTCCCTGTTTCCATCCATGACCATCTCCACCAGTCCTTACATATCTGTCCTTATATATCCAAGACATAGGTGAAATTCTCTGTCATGGGCAACTGCTGCTGAGGGGAAGAGGGCGATGTCAGAACACTGCAGCCTAAGCATGCCTAAGTACTTCCTACACTTGGTAGGGAACAGCTTTCTCGTGCTCTATCCATGAGACTTGTTATTTTCCATAGTCTGAACTTCCCCTGTATTTCATGTTGGCATTTGATGGATGTTAGCCAAGATTTCCATGGTTGCTAGTTACCATCTGGTGGCTAGTGTCCATCTGTAGGCCAGAGTGTCAAAGTAGCAGAAGTTTCCTTGTAGGTAACAGCAGAGTTTGGTGGTTTTTTGTACTAGAGCTCACTGACTGGAACGCTCTCCTAACTTTCAGTCAGGCTTTCCTTGCCACAGTAAATCCTCATCCAGCTGATTGGTTATCCATATGACCATATGGGTGGTTATTGGCCTCAAAACTGTTTTGTTTTCTTCTATTTTACTTCTGAATCTAGAGTCTGGTGGGCTCAGAAGTCTTCTGGGAGTCATCTTCATTAATTTATTTTTAAAGATCATTTGAGCAAAGACAAAGTTCTCAGAAGTAGGGGGAGTTGAAAGGAAATGTAGGAGCACTATGCTTATTAACTCTAGCTATGAAATCAGTGAGACTTGAACTGGTCTTTTGGTTTTTTATTTTCTTTTTTTTTGTTTTGTTATTTCAGAACAGAACCAAAAATCATCTCAGTATTTGCTTTTGTAGCAGCGTAGGACAGGAAGCTCGTTTAAAGAGAGAAGCAGAAAGGTCTTTGCTGCCTGTGGAAAGAGAAGCAAGATTTATATGCTTTGAGGAGGTATATAATAGAAGATTTACTTGGTTAAGAAGTCCAGTAGTCATTGCTCATTTGCATTAACATACTATCCCACAAGCTGTCACTTCCTGCAGTTCTGCACAGAAATTTCCTGTAGCATTCTCTTTTCACAGGGAAAGCTAACCTGTTCTTGTTCCAAATATTCAACCTTTCAAAATAAGGTCCCATTAATCATAAGACTGTTTCTCTAAAGAAACCATTAATTTAGCTGTGCAACATCAGTTACAGTATGTTTAACTTGAACTGTAAAGCAAGTCTGTCTTTCAATTGACATGTAACATCAGCAAACTTGAGTAGGTCCTGTAATCCACAGTGGAGGTACTGCAAAACAGAAACTACAGGCTGAATAATTTGAAGTTGAAAGTAAGGAATATAATGTAGCTAATCTTGCTGGGTTGTTTTCTTCTTTCCTGTTCACAGATCTACTGTAGCTTGCTGCCATTTAATTCTAACAACTCATCTGCTTGAGGAGATACTGTTGTAATGTATCCAGTGGCTGTTCCTGCACCAGGAGGTGAAGGAAGTAGTGGACAACATGGGAAACTTATTTTTTTCCTTTTTATTTTTGGAGCTGTGTTGCTGTGTGCTGGATTCCTTCTTTCAGTCTTTATTCTCCAGTCATGTCCATCTGGAAGCTTCAATGACTGTAATGATGTCCTTAAGGCTGCTGGGCCAGTGCTGGCTGTAACTGGACTGGTTTGTGTTTTACTGGCACGATCAAGGGCCAGGATGTATATAAGACAAAGACAATTGCAAAATGAGCAGGTGTACAGCCTTGTTTTTTGTCGTGGGAACTGTCAGTTTGCCCAGTTTCTCATATTTGGATTCCTGTTTTTAACTAGTGGAATGTTAATTAGCATCCTGGGCATTTGGGTTCCTGGTTGCAGCCCTGGCTGGCATACAGTACAGCTCAACCACACTGGCACTTCTGACATAGACCTCCAGGGCTGTGGATTCCTGTCACTTCAAATCTTGGGACCTTTGATTGTGCTCACTGGGTTGTGTTTCTTCGTGATAGCTCATGTCAAAAAAAAGCAAAACTTAAATCTCAACCAAGAATCCTGTGAAAGTGAAGAACATCCTCAGAGCCCTGAATCTTTTCAGGTGACAGTAGGTGAGTAAAAAGCGTTGGAACTTTACACTGGGAATTAGTGGAGGTTTTTTTCCACTAATAATTTATATCTGGGTATTACTTATTTATTATTATGACTTACTTAGTATGAGATCTAAGCATGTCAGTTCTGCCATGTCAGGACAGCCGAAATAGAATAATGTTAGTTTGTCTCGTATGCTTTCTGTATGGTCAGTTCAGTTACCTTTCTCAAAAAGGCAGAAAATCTCTTTGGCATAAAAGGTAAGGTCTGACTGTGTAAAGCAACATAACCAACATAGAAACAAATGAGTCTAACCCCAGTTCTGTTCTCAAACTGTGTAATTGGCACCGCAGATCAGACTTCTGTGACTATATTTAAGATCTATTTTAGCCTTGAGCTCTGACCCCTTAAACAGAAGATTCTGATTCATAACCAATATACTGTATTTTTTTAAATTGTGGCCACATCCTGAGTTGGTAAGAGATATAATTAAGGGTTTTAAACTCTTCAGTTACAGAGTGGAAATTGGTAGATCTTTTGCTGTACGATATATTGATGTAGTGATCTGTGTATCAATACTTGTGGTTAGTGTGCTTGAACTACAAGAAACTTAGTAGGGAAACTGTCACAGTGCACAAAATCAATTCTCAGAGGCATTAATGACTTCTGTTACAGCACTGCAGTACTTATGGAGAAACTTAGTTTCCCTCCCAAAAATAAAATAAGTAATTCTAAATACTTCCATATCCTTAAAACATCTCAACAGTAACTATGTGCTTTGCACTTCAGCTTCTTGTAGACAGCCAACCGTATTTGTGTTTCTTAGCTAGATAAACACTTCCCCCTTGTCAGCTGTATTGTCTAAATTAAATCCTTCATGTATAAATATGCTACATCTTTATTTTGGGATTATTTAGGTTTTGAATGTACCTCCAATCTCCTCCAACAGTCTAGCATGTATCAATTCTAGGGGTATCATTTATCTTAAAAGCTAGGCAAGTTATAGGATGTTGTTAACATAAACAGAGGTGCTCAGTTCTTCAGAGGTAATGGGTGTTCTTTCCCCTAGGTGATACTGTGATGGTATTCCCACCCCCACCACCTCCTTATTTTGCTGACCCGATGTCACCAACTGTGACTCATTGTCTTATGTCAAGGGTTTTGCCTACAAGTGAAAATCCACCACCATACCACTCTATCTTCAGTGATGGGTAAGACTGTTCATCTCTGACTTTAGAAATCTGAGCTGTTTCTTTAGGTATCCCTGTTCTTATATAATCACTGTGTATTAACTACTAAGCATGACAAAGTTTTCTCGTGCATAACTCAACTTACTTCAGATACTTTACTTGAATTGGCATTAAAATACAGTTGTATACTACGGGAACTACGAACAGCCGAGTGTCCTTTATGAGGATTAAATTATTATTATTATTATTATGACTAGAAAGAACTTCTGAAGTTCTTAAATCAATGCCCCATGGTAGATTTCTTCCATAGATTGACCAAGAGAGGATGCCACTGGCAGCAGTGTGGTAGTGACATGATATACATATTGCCAGATTTTAGGAGCCTCTGTTGAAACAGAGCTGCAAGTATTTTATGACACCTACCCACAGACCCTGGGAACATTGGCAGATAAAGTAATGTGTTCAGTTCTCCCATGTCCCTTATCTCTGCCTTGAGGTAGTGGGACCCGGGGTGCTGGTCGACCTCGTTCCTGCTGTGCCCATGTGTTGAGATTAAAGGATTCCTTGCTATCACAGAAGGCTCCAGCATGCTGATAAGGGAGCCTGCAAAGCCAGTTTTATTTCAAGATGTTGTACCTTACCCTTTCAGGCATGGATCCTTACATATATGGATTGTAACAGAATTGCCTGATATTGACACCACCAGAATCAGGGAGCAGGAGCTGCCAGCTTACCAAAGACTTGCCTGTGCCACAGGAACTTGCAGGGATATTTGTCCCCTGTGGCTTACCACCAGTACGCTGCTAACCTGAAGGTCAAAGACTAGAAGTTAGAGCTAGGTGTCACATGTCTAAAGTCCCTAACTTATTTTCAGGCCTTTAATGATTCAAAAATTACTTGATTTAATATCTTTGGAATGGCCCTACATCAGCCTGGGTTTGAGCTGTGAGTCAGAAAGTTATGTGGGACTATCATTTTACGACTTTAAGTCACAAGACTGTGCATGCAACATGGTGTCACTGGAAACTGGGAAGTAAACTCTGACCAATTTGTTAGGTTACAAAGCTGGCATTAGATTATTAGCAGTGCTAGAGGCATGGGTAATTCTCTACACAGCATGTATGCTCAGTAACATGACAGACCTGAAACTAATAATATTCAAACTAAACTAATGTTCCTGAAACTAATACATTTTCATCACATTTCCTGAATGCATATATATATATATGCGCTAATTATTTCCATGGACTTGTTTGGATATGGTTCCAGGTGTTCTGATAAATCATTTCTCCATGACAGTGTCTCAAATCAGTCACCATAATGTACTTCTCTTACTATTGTTTGTTCTGACAGACAATCCTTTTTCTCAAAACTAAGATATCAGCTATTATGTATTAATTACTGATAAAAGGAAGCATTAACTGGAACAAGACATTAGTCAGAGATGCAGGGAATTAACACAAGACTACAATAGTCTCTGTATTTGTACTAAGTACTGTATTATCAGTTTCTCTGGGTCTGGATTGAAGGCATTGAAACAGTAGTTCATGTTCGGACTCAAGTGTTTATTATTTCTTATCAGAAAAACAGTCTAACAACCATGAGTTCAGCAGCTTTTCATTAGAAGGCACAAAATGGCTAACGATTTCTTGTTACGAGGTCTTTTGAGACTAAACTATCTAATTAAGAACTGACATCTAGATTATTTTCCATTTTAACCCAATAACTGGTCCTTAAGGGCCCGCAATGCAGACTTTTCTGCCCAATTACAGAGTGCCACCCAAACCCAAGAAGAAAGAAATATGAAGAAGAAACCCAGGACAACACCCTGTGCTCTCCATCTTGCTTTCATCCACAACATACTAAAAATCCCAAAACCTAAACTTCTCACCAAGTGATACACCTACACTAGTCTCTATAATCTATTTCACGCTTTTGTGGATTCTAGTCTGTCTTGAATTCTAGGAAAACTTTCTCCATGAATGAGGGTCAAAGGCAGTGCTCCCCTGGATGTCAGGATCCCCCAGAGCAGACAGAAAAATATTCCTGGTGCCCTGGGTTTTCACATTGTATGGGACAAAACTAAGCATAGTATATATTCATATACCATGAATATAGGGATAGTACACTTATTATGCTAAAGTTAAAAGAATTTTCCAACATTTTCCCCTACTGCTATGAAAACCTTTTATGGAAATATAAGTGGTTTGGTAACAGTTGGAAGCACAATCACTACTGTTGGTGATGAGTGTGTGGAAAGTTGTCTGGCAGGAAAGGACTTGGGAATGGTGGTCAACACTACCTAAACATGAGCCATCAGTGTGTCCGGGTGGCCAAGGTAGCCTGTTGCATCCAGGCTTGTATCAACAGTAGTGTGACCAGTGGGACCAGGGCATCTAAATCATCTGTTCAAGGGGAGGGGGATAATAAGTGGCTTGTTCCTGGCAACCTGTGGGATGGGAGACAAAGATTAGAAGAACAAGAAGCTTGCAGGGGTCCTCTGCTTGTGAATCTGGACTGTGCTGGCCACACTGGAACACGCTTGCAGTCTTACGCAGTTGAGGCATGGGCTTCTAAGGTAACAGAAGGCAGGAGGAAAGCACTGGAGAACTATCTCAAACTAAGGGATGTTCCTCTAGGAAGGCAACATCTTAGCTAAGCTGCCTTTACACCAATGCACATAGCATAGGCAACAAACTGAAGCAATTGTAAGCCACTGTGCTGCTGGAAGGCTATGACTTTCTTGCCTTTCCTGAAACTTTATGGGATGAATCCTGTTTCTGGAGTGTGACTTATAATAGCTGCAGGCTGTTCAGAAGAGAAAGGCAAAGTAGAGGCAGAGGGATTGCTCTTTACAGCAAGAGGTGGATTGAATGTGAAGAGCTGTCCCTGAAGAATACCCATGAGCAGGTAGAAAGCTGTGGGTAGGAGTCAGGGACCGAGGCAGCAAGGGGAGCCTTTGGCTGGGGTCTGCTACAGCTGCCAGACCAAGGGCAGCCCATTGACCAAACCTTTGCTCCAGCACAGGAGGCCTTGTGCCTGAGGGTCGTGTCCTGCAGGGGAACTCAGCCACCCCAGCAGCTGCTGGGAAAGTAGCTTGGAGGACTGTGACAATCCAGGAGACTCCTGGAATGTGTGGAGGATAACTTCCTGAGCCAGGTGACAGACAGCCCTGCCAGAGGGAATGTGGTACAGGATGTGTTGGTCACCAATGCAAGTGAGCTAACTGGGACACCAGGACTGGAGGCAGCCTGGGCTGCAGGGGTCATGCACTGCTGCAGTGTGCAGCCCTGAAGGATAGGGGCTGGGTAAGGAGTTCAGCTCTTGAACTTTAGGAAAGAGACTTCCAGTCCTTTGGGAACCTAGTCAGTGGGATCCCCTGACAGACTGCCCACAGGGACAAGGGAGTAGAAGAGAGCTGGCAGATCTTTAAGCAACTCTTCCACAGAGCATGAGAGCTGGCAATCCCCAGGAGCAAGAAATCAGAAGAGGAGGGCAAAAGACCAGCTTGGCTCAGTAGGAGCTTGCTGGTCAAAGTTAAGGGAAAGAAACCAGGACAAGTGACCTAGGAAGAGTTCAGAGATGAAGTACAGTTGTGTAGATAGGCCATGAGGAGTGCCAAGGGAAAACTGGAACTGAACCTGGCAAGGGACACAAAGAATAACAGGAAGAGCTTCTACAGGTACAGTGCATTAACCAGAAATGGAAGGTCAAAGAGAGGATATCCCCTGATTGAACAATACTGGAAAAATGGTGACAGTGGATGAGAAGGCTGAGGTACTCAATAACTTTTTTACCTCTGTCTTGAATGGCAACCTCTCCTCCCATTCAGGATGGACAGCAGGATAGGGACTCAGGGAGCAAAGTCCTTCCCACTGAAAAAGAAGATCAGGTTCATGGCTATCTGAGGAATTGGAATATACGTAAGTCTGTGGGACCCAGTGATCTGCATCCCAGAGTCCTGAGGGAGTTGTCAGTAGATGTCAGTCATATGTAATTGCCAAGCCACTCTGCCTGATATTTGAAAAGTTACTTCAGTCAGGGCAAGACCCAGGTGACTGGGAAAAGGGGAAAACTTTGAATTCACCTTTAAGAAGACTAGAAAGGAAGAATACTGAGAAATACTCACCTGTCAGCCCTACCTCTGCCTGGGAAGATTGTGGAACAGATGCCCCTAGAACTGTGCCACATGTAGGACAGGAAGGTGATTCAGGACAGATGATTCAGACAACACAACTGCATCAAGGGCAGATCTTGCCTGATCAAGCCAGTGGCCTTCTGTGATGGGGTGATGATATCAGTGGACAAGGGAAGGGTTACAGATGTCATTTATCTTTATTTTACTGTAAAGCCTTTGGCACAGTCCCCCACAACATCCTTCTCTCTTGACTGGAGAGAGATGGACTCAGTGGGTGGATTGTTCAGTGGATGAGGAATTGGTTTGACAGTCACATCCAGAGTGTGGTGGTCAGAGACCCAGTGGACTTCAGTGAGAAGTTGTGTCCATCAGGGGTCCGTATTCAGACCAGTGTTATTAAATATCTTATTAATGACATATACAAATGTATTTGCAGATGACACCAAGGTGAGTGGTGTAGTTGTCAGATTTGAAGTATGGGATGCTATCCAGAAGGACCTGGACAGGATGGAGGCCTGGTCTATGGTAATCTATAGTAATTTATGGTAATCTAAATGTGTTTTAGCAAGATCAAGTGCAAGGTGCTGCCCGTGGGTCAGAGCAGCCCTGGCACCAGCACAGGCTGGGGATGGACAGATCACAGCAGCCCTGCCCAGAAGGACCTGGGGGTGCTGGTGGCTGAGAGGCTGGACATGAGCCAGCCATGGGCACTCCCAGCCCAGAGAGCCACACGTGTGCTGGGCTGCATCCAGAGCAGGGTGGGCAGCAGGGCCAGGGAGGGGATTCTGCCCCTCTGCTCTGCTCTGCTGAGACCCCACCTGCAGGGCTGCAGCAGCTCTGGGGCCCAGCACAGGAAGGACGTGGACCTGCTGGAGGGAGTCCAGAAGAGGCCACCAAGGTGACAGAGGTCTGCAGTACCTCTCCTGTGAGGAAAGGCTAGGAGAATGAGGCTTGTTCAGCCTGTGAAAGAGAAGGCTCCAGGGTGAACTAATTGCAGTCTTCCAATGCCTGAAGGGAGCCTACAAGGACTTTTTCCAAGAGCGTGTAGTGACAGGACAAGGGAGATTAGTTTCAAACTGAAAAAAATTTTAGAGTAGATATTAGGAAGAATTTCATTACTGTAAGAGTGGTTAGATACTGGAACAGGTTGTCCAGAGAAGTTGTGGATGTCCCATCTGTAGAAGTGTTTAATGCCAGATTAGATGGGGTTCTGAGCAACCTGGTCTAGTGAAAGATGTCCCTGCCCAAGGCATGGGAGGTTGGAAATAGATGATCTTCCACATCCCTTTTAACCTATAGGCTGTTCTATGATTCTGTGGTTCAGTTTCGGGTCCTTCTTGATGAAAAAGACACTGAGGTTCTGGAGTGTGAAAAAAGAAGATCAGCACAGCTAGTGAAGGATCTGAAGCACAAGTCATGTGAGGAGTTGCTGAGGGAGCTGGAGTTTTTCAGTCTGGAGAAAAGGAGGCTTGATCTTATTGCTCTCTTCAGTTGCTGGAAAGGAGGTTGTGGCAAGCTGGGGATTGGCCTCTTCTGCTAGATAACAAGTTGGCTGGGCAAGAGGAAATAGCCTTAAGCTGTGCCAGGAAAGGTTTATCTTAGCTATTAGGAAGGTGTGGCAGGCACAGGGCCTGCAAGGCCCTGGCGATCAGAAGCCTGAGCTAGGAAATGCCAAGTCAGCATGACTGGGCTTTAGAAGCCCCTCTCTTCTGCCTTTCGGAAGACCCTGTTTATCTCCCTGTAAATCCATAGGTCACTTTCCCCTGACCCCTACTATTGGACAGTTTTCAAAACCCCTGTAGAGTATAAAAACCCCTAATTTTGCCCAGTTCGGCAGAAGAGCTGTCACTGGACCCTTGGCGGAGACCCGAATAAAAGAATCCTGCGGAACCCCAAACAGCGCTTCTCTCTCCCTCTGCTGCCGCGGCACCTAGCAACCTAAAGAACTGGAGATCACAAAAGAGCTGATTATCACTAAGAGCTGCGAATCACTCTAGCTTGCCTAGGCTGCCTGAGCCCCCGCTGAGCTATCCTGGTCGGCGGCATTCTCTGCTGGGCTCCTGCCCTGAGGGTAATGACCCGGCCATAGGAAGGGGTTTTTTTGCAAGAAGGTTTGTAAAGTATTGGAACAGGCTGCTCAGGAGAAGCGGTGGTGTCACCATCCCTGGAAAATCATGTGGACATGGTTTAATGCTTGTGTGGATTTCTTTGTCTTGTGAACATATGTACATAAAGAGACAGTTTGTTGGGATAGTATCTAGTGGAGTGGATAAAACACCTCAGGCTTGGATACAAAACCCAGAATGCCTGACCATGCCTTGTGGTGTTTTCTGATGGGGTGTAGCTGGTGCCCTTCCATGCTTCCCAGTGTCCTCACAGAGACCTGCTGAGCTGATACCACCTCTGGGTGTTTCACTCAGTCCTGCTCTCTCATGCTGGCAGTTAGGGCATCTTGATTAGTGCAAGTTGCTTCCTGAGCACTTTCATGGAAGAGAAGTAATGGCCTTGTTGTTCATAACAGTGCCATGGTTGAAGATCCTAAATACAGGAGGAGGTACACATTTCATATGTTGGTGGCTGCTGGACCAAGGTGATTTGCCTCTTCAATCCATTGCTCTGTGTTTTGTCAGCAAACACTGTGCTGCAGCCTGTGCTGGATGAGAGAGCTGTTAGTAAGCTGAGTCATGGTTTCATCCCAGAATTGCTTGCATTTTTCCTGCAATCTGTTACATAGCACTTCAGCATTTGTCTTGTATTTTCCTTTCCTTTGAAAATCCTTACAGACCAGTAACGGCATTGAAGATGAGGTGACTGTGCTCTGTATTTGTGCTCCTCACTCATTATTTATATGGATACAGATGTATGAGTCAGCTCTGGGACTGAATCATAAGGAGCAAGCAGGTTTTCCTTTCCTTGGGAAGCAGCTGAAGCAATATGCTGAGGGCCATCTCCAGGGTGAGATGAGCAAAGTACCAGAACAATGTGGGTTCAACCAATTGTGATCCATTTATGATGGTTTTTGGATGCAGTTCTAAGTCTAGTAACTGTCTTTCATAAAGGAGGGGGACTGTGTATGCTGTACACTACAAAAAGGAAGATGCATTAGGAACTAGGGATCAGAAGATTTAGTAAGATTGCGAAACAGCACAGCCAAAAGCAGCTAATGCCCATAGGCCAGGCTGTGACTGATGATCTGAAAGGTTAGAAGGGAGCTTGTTTTGCCTTTCCCCTCTGAAATTATAGACTTTTCATATGAAGAGTCATAATGTAGCCCACAGAATGAAATCTTAATGCTTATGCAAGTTCTTTGCTTCAGGGATATTTAGGAAGTGTGTGCATACATGTATGTTTATATAAATCAAGTCAAATTTCACTCACTGTAGATAAATGAATTATGCTAATACATAGTTTTGTGTTTTATAGAGCACAGCTTGCTGATGATGAAAGAACAGTTGCTGCTAGAGACTATGACTCCATATATACAATTTCTGGAAGCAGCTCGCCTTCAGATATTTTACCAGTGCTATACCTTTCTTCTGAATCACCACCAAAATACGAAGAGAAAGCATCAGTAACAGATAATGACTTTTTGCCATCTTCTTTCTTGTCTTTTTCATCTATTTCCTTAGCCACATCTGACACCAGCTTGTAAAGGACTGACAGTTCACTTAATTTTTAATAAAACGTACACAGATTTACAATTTTTGAATTTATTTCCATTTTGTAATAAAAGTAATAATGTTGTCTGTGTCTAATTTTTCATCAGGAAGAATAAACAATTAACTTGGATTTCAAGAAATACTAGAGATGACTGGGCCTCTGCTAAAGTAGTCTGAAGGGAGTTCACTGCAAGAACATTAAACGCTCATCTTGTTCTGTTACAGCTTCAGTTTCTATTTATAGCTGTTCTTTTTATAGTGAAGCCACTAAGTAGAAACCAACTTTTTTTATTATTTTAATTAAATCTGTTTGGAGCTTCAAAGAAAGAAATAATTAGGAAGTGGTTTTATTTCTATTTTTGCATTCCTTTTTTTGGAAAATATTTGTTTGCAAAGTTGTGGCCTTTACAAGTACTCGAGGAGCATTCACATATAGGGATGTTAAGGTTGCTATGAAGATGCCAAAGATGCTTTGAAGAGCTTCAATGGTTACCTCTTGGTCTGCCTGGTAACAAACACTCCATATTTAGGCTATCTCTGGTCCTTATGTAAGTATAATCCCTAGGAAAATCAGTTTTAGCTGCAGTTAAGAGCCCAAAGGCAGCCCTGAGGAGAGATAATAGACTAACAGTTTAACTGTGGTAGCAACTGGCTTCAGGGGGATTATTCTGCTGTTTTATATCATTATTCATGGATTATACAAGGAGTGCTTATTGTGTGAGAGTGAGCACCACAAAGCAATGATGTCTTCGAGGTGCAGACATTACTTATCAGCAGATGCAGGAGAGGCAGTTTCGTGGAAACAAATGTTTTTAACTGATGTAACATTTGAGAGATCCTTCAGAAATACAACCCTCTTAGTTCTTCCATCCTGCTGCAACCCCAGGGTAGTGGTAGTGGCCTGCCTTCAGGGTGGAGCTTTGGAGTTTCTAATTATATTTTGTGGTTGTTTGCACCTGTTCCCAAAGTGAAGGATTAGCTTGTATTAGGTAAAGATAATTAGGAGGAACTGAGTTGCTGCTATCCTTGACATCTTACACTTTGCTCTGAATGCTGTTTGAGAAAAACAGATTGGATTCTGTGCCCAGACAAGCAGCAGGGCTACAGTTTGGGCTTGGTTCACCCTGGTGAATTTGCCAACATTAAAAATTTTTGTAAGAGTGATCTCTGAATTGTTCAGCGGAGTCTCTGAACAGCTGTGTGTCATGGGACCTCAGTTACACCTCCACTCACCATGCTGAATTTCAGAGAACTTGACTGTAACAGGATCCCAGACCATGAATTAAGAACTTAAATTCCCTCCTTTGACAAGGGAAAGGTGATTTCCATGTGTCATCTAGTTGTGAATATGCCTCTCACCTGCTTACTGCTTTAGAGAGATGTTCAGGAGCTCCTGCATTTGCCATTTATTTCCAATTCTGTGTTACTCCCTCAGTTATGCCAGGACAGCCCTTTTTGCAGCCACATAAAAACAAACCAGCCAGTGAGGGAAGTATATTTAGCCAGCAATAGAGCTGAGGGGCTTATGCATGCAGAGTAATGAGCAAACAGGGCACAGAGGGGGATTTAGTATGTAGAAGCTGATTAAACTGGCATGACTCAGCCATTGGAAATGTCTGTATGAAGAAAGGGAATCCACAAAAGCCAGCAGGCATTTTGTCCTCTCTTCTTTCAAACATTTTTTACCTAGTGAGTCTTTCAAGGATGTTTTTCCTTACATGCAATCTGCAATGCAAGCTATAGTTTGCCATCTTTGTGATTATTTTTTTAAGCTTTTGCTCCTACTGTTTGAACAGTGGGGCCCACTGCTGTGTGTGATTTGTGCATACATAGCTTTGCACATGTCTAGGGAGCGTGTTTCTCTCTCAAATTATCCTTCTGCCATACAACAAGAACAGAAGCTGGGGTGTTTTACTGGAAAGATCCCATGCAACAAAGCCCATGTTAGCTTTATCCTGTTGTTCAGAACACTAATTTTCTGAAAAGGCTAAATATCAAAACATGTTTTAGCAAATCTGGAAATATTTTACCATCTTAAAAAAAAAATCAGTTGCATCTGGTGGTAAACTGGAAAAGTATCAACCTTTTCTGCTGTCTTCAATTTGCTCAGTCAGTTGTTGCCAAGATGCACCCAAGAGACCAATCAAGAAGAATATGTTGATTCATCTGAGTTCTCTGTAACAGAAACATAATCTTGTTTTCCTTCAAGGTTATTGTATTTTGATCATCTACTGCAGAGTCTTCTGTGTGGATCACTTTATTTCTAAAAAAGCAGTCTGCACAGAACTACGGTTCAGAAAGCTGCTGACCTGACTTCACACTCGTCATCTGAGTTTCCTGAGAAGGATAGCTGTTACCACTGAAAACAAGGACTGAAAACGGAATTTACATCTCTATGATTTTGAGAAGATGCTTAGGAAAAAGATCAGTTTACAGCTGTGTTAGCATCTTCTGTTTTTGACTTAGAAAATCGTTACTTGAAAACTCAGTGGATGTGCTGGGTGGCTCTCCATAAACTGTTCAGTACTGAGGTAGTTAACATAGCCAGTGCAAAAGTGTTTGCTGGCTGTGGTGTTGAAATCTGTTGCAGCAAGGTCAGAAAATGAGTAAGAGTCTAGCAAGTCTGCCATCACCACTGAAGGCTACCACTGGGTGAACAGCAGTAGAGGGAAGAATTTTTGATGTGGGGAGTAGAAGTGAAATGTCTGTATTAGAAAGGAAGCAACACCTTGTAAAACTATAAAAGTAGCTTAAAATAATACAGAATAGCATTTTTATTGAGGAAGTGAGATACTTTACTGTCCCACTAATGGTGCTATAACCCTCTTTCTACTCTAAAGTTAACTTAAGTGTTTGACATACAAATGCTAGTGAGCAAATCAAGTTGGTTACTGATTCACACTTACTTAAACAGGCAAAGTGGGAGGTAAGGGTTGCTTGCCCTCTCTAAGTGAAGGTCTTTCTTTCTTGCTGCCTGCACTGACACTGCTGTGCTTCTAACTGCAACACTGCAATCCTTTGCATATGAGGGATTCACAAAAATATAAATGAATACATTTCCTCTAGGAAAAGTCCTTCTTCCTACATCAACAGCAGATAAAAAAATGAACAGTTAACTCATCTGGAAAACTGAGATTGCACAGGTCTTTGCAATGTTGCTATGTTTTTGTGATAGCAAGGCTTGCTATCATAAGGGCGTGATTGCACCCACCCCATCTTTACCCTTTGTAGTTTGTGTTGCTGTATTCATTTATCCCTTTTCCATCCTATCTCTTCAGAGTCATGACTTGTAGTGGCAGTATCTCTGCATTCGGCACTGAACATGCCAGACTTCAGTGCTCTATCACACATACATGCATCTCAACAATTAGGCATGGAAAAACCTTCATTTTGGTGTGCCTGCTCAGAAGACAACATTTTCCAGAGCATATAAAGCCACCTTGCTGGTAAATGCAGTTGTGGACAGCTGGCTGAACCTGCTCCTCACAATTTATTTGTACTTTGAGGCTGGCAGTGCAGTAGTTCAGGGGTGAAAGGCCCACTCACAGTGGTTATTCATGTACTGCTCTTACACGTGTAATTCATGTTTTCCATTGAAGACTCCATGTGCAGTTACCTTGCTGTAGGAAAAAGTCCCACTAACTCAAACCACTGACTCCTTAATCTCCCTAAATTATGGACTGATAATTTGTACTCAATGTGCAATACTGTGTGTTGTACAGCTTCTTTTGCATCTTCTAAGTTCCTGCTTATATAACTGGCATGTAAGAAAATAAAACATTCCTGTAAGAGGCTGATAATGTGAACAACTGTGTAAAAATAGGTAACATAAAGAGAAGAAGAAAGGGTTAAGTTATAGCCTGTCAGTGTTCTCTAGGATGACTCTTCAAATAGGTTAGAGAACTGAGGGGGTGCAGAGCACCTGCTTCCAGCAGCAAGCATCTGCAGGGGAATTCAGCACTGGTAATAGAAAATTAGGTGCAGGAACAGAAAGCAAAGCAATGCTTGTGTTCAAGGGTAAGGTCTGAAGAAGATGAGAACAAAACTGTATTGAGACCTGAAAACAGCACTCATTCTAAAAAACCTCACTCCAACCAATTTTCCTTCTTTTCACAAAACTCTTTTGCTTAGGAGTCATATAGGTAAAAGGGATGCATTTAGTAAATTGACATTTTTAAGTGAGTCCCCAGAACACACATTATTTGCAAAGAAATGCACTGGTCTTAAAAAAATCAGTGTGATCCAGTAATCTCTTAACACCTTGACAGCTGCCTGACTGCAGCATTACCACTCTCTGGGCAAATAACTGGAGAAATGTGGGGATGCATAGAGGAAACTGTCTTACAGAGAGGGGACAGTTTACAGGGAAAGGAGTAATTTTAATGTAGATCCTAGCACACCAAATGGAGAGTGTTTTCTATCTTATTTTAAAAGTTCAAGTGGCATGTAGGTTTGAAAGGAAGAGAAGGATCCTGTGTTCTCCAGCTCTACTGTGCGCTTGCTCAACACATGAAGTCATGTCCTAGACCAGAGGAAAGGAGATGGCTGTGGGATGACACAACACCCAACTTGGAAAATTCTGATTCCAGACAGGGTCTAAGTACCACTCTGTGGGATTGAGGAAGTGCTCCAGCATGATCCCATTGCAAATAGCAGTTGCAGAGTTCTTGAATGAATGAAAGGAGCCAGGTGACACTACATCTGTATAAACTATTAGCTAGACAGCTATTATAATATAGTGCTGCCTTTAAAAGGATATTGGAAAGCCTGAAAGATTCAGCAGTGGCAAAGATGATTCATAGTATGGAAAAACCTGACTTGTAAAGAGCAGTAACAGTTCATTCCATTAAGTTTAATAAATGTAAGGTTAAAGGTGATTTTGACTTTGGCTATAATTACCAGTGCAAAGACATTTTTTCTAGTATTTCAGCACAGTCTAGTTTAGTTGTCATCATAAAAAACCACTGCATTGCAAGACTGATCTCTTTGCTCAAGAGGTGCAGAGAATCCTGACCAGTCTTAGTGTTGTGGGAAAGGCTGATCTTGAGTGTATTTGTCAGAAAATTTGTTGACACCCTGGGTAACATAATGGGTGACTTAATAATGCTGCATTTAGAAGCTTCACAGCTTTTTTTAAAGGAATCCAGCACTAATATTTCTCAAGGTCTGTGTGCTAAAAAATGAGAAAGACATCTGCAATTGCATTCAGCATCAGTTCTAAAGGTGCCGAATTTGGGGAATAGCCCTTTCCAGGAAAGAGCTGTCATCACAGAGTGTGATGTGAATGCAGAGTAGACGAAAAGCACTTTTACTGACTTTGAAAAAGCAGTCTAAAAGGTGAATTTTCTATTTCTAGAGCTATTTTTAATCTTACAAATTTCAGGATAAGCTTGCTTCCCCAGAGCTGCTGGTAGCAGGAAATAGCATTATGTGTTCCACTGCCTGAGCAGTTATCAGTGTCCTCTGTGTCGTACCCTGCCATGCTAGTCAAAACAGGCCTAGCAGGCCTAGAGTAGTTGGAGTAGTTGGAGGTATTTCCTCCTTAAGGAATTACACAAAGACATTCTACCAGAACCCTACAACAGCAATTGCTTTAGTCTGAAACTGTTAGGAAACAGAAAATTTCAAAATTCAATAATCTGTCTATTTAATATATGAGATGTGAGTTCAGCAGAAGATAGTTCATTGTGATATGAAGTAGTAGTTCATTGTGACATGAAGAAGTATCCTACATACCTGTGAGTACAGCATAAGATTCCTCACTCTGTCAAGTTTAGCATTACAGGAGATGCTTTCTCTTTCTTGCGGTGATGTGCCATTCAGAGTATTTGGGCATTATTCTCTATAAACCTTAAAACCTACTACAAAAAATGTCCAGAATTAAGGGGAAATTATAGGGTAATTTTACTACTTCAACCAGCTGGAAAGCTTTGGCTGTTTTGAAATAAGGTTTCTCCCACAGCCAACAGTTCTCCCAGGCTTCTCAGTGCTTACCATCACGTTACCACTTACCCTCCTGCTCACCTAGTGGTTGCCCCAGAAAAATGTCAGAAAGTGTACTTTGGTATTTTTTTAAACCATGGACTGCAAAATGAGCTGCAACAGAGGTCCAGGCATGACTATAAATGTCACGCTTCAGAGCATGGAAAAGCATTCCTAGCAAAGGCCATGTGGAATTTTCCTGCAGAAAATTGAGCAGGAAGTGGAGAGCAAGGATCTCTTCACTGTTGACTAAACATATGCTGTCCATATGTTGGATGTATCAGCTAGCTGGGGCCAAGGAAAAGCTGCAATAGCTCCAGCTTGCTTTTTCTGCTATCCAGAATGAGCACAGTATCGTGGGTGCTAAATTAAAGACAAAGGAAACACAAGGAGACAGGCAGTCATGCAGGGGTGAATCCATTTCGGAAGTGATAGTGGTAATTCAAGAAATCTTTAGTGATGGCTTCAGGCTTCAGTTCCCAGACCTTTGTTCTTTCAAGCAAAGTTTATTCTTTCACATGATGGACTCTGTTAACCATACACACACAAAGTTCTTGTATAACTAACCTGGACCTTCGACTTTAAATGCTCTGCCAAGTCCTTTACAAGCCCCCTTTCTCTTGAAGGAGAAGATACATTATACTCAGTAATGGAGCAAAACAACAACAACAATGTAGAAGATTTCTCCTTGAATGTTTTTTCTGTCACTCCTTGTCAGCCAAACAGATCTGATGCCCTGGTGTCAGATGGGGATAAAGCTGGCACCACTCTGCTCTTTTCAGGTGTGTTTTTGGGACTGGTGGGGATCACTTTCACTGTGATGGGATGGATAAAATATGATGGCATTACTCACCTGGAGTGGACTCAGTTACTAGGGCCTATTCTGCTGTCTGTCGGGGTGACTTTTATTCTGATTGCTGTTTGTAAATTTAACATGCTTACATGCAAGCCCTGTAAAGAAAGAGAGGAAAATACGTCGGAACTTGATCAGGCTGCAAGCGGACAGTCCTTTGTCTTCACTGGCATTAACCAGCCTATAACTTTCCATGGTGCCACAGTGGTACAGTACATCCCTCCGCCGTACCCATCCCAGGAAGGCGCTGCTGTGAGTCCCGGCTACCTTCACCCCGTGCTCAGCTGCTGTGGTGCTGCTCCCCCCAGCACCTCGCCAGTCCTCACCTCGGCTTCCTCTCACTTCTGCCCTGCCTACACCCTGGACAACCTGGCTTTTACTGGAGATGAGAACTACACTGCTTATCCTGCAGAGAATTCCAGGAATCAGAGGTACATCTTCTGAAATGCCTTAGTGTGTTTGGACACAGTCTTCTGAATATTTTAAGTACAATGTGTGGTTTCATAAGAAACTACAACTAGTCCAAGACATTATCCTTCTCAGACTTTTTTTTATCTTTGTTAGGAATTTTTCTTGAGTGAGGAAATGTACTTTTCCTGCAAAGTGTTTTTACACAATTTAAATTCATTTATAAATGCCTTTTGATTTTCAGTAAGCTAAACCTCTTATTACTTTTTAAGATATATGTGCTCCTGTTTGTGGAGGTTTTCTTATGTTTATCTTGCCACCTTTAAGTTATTATGTGTATGACACCAAGATTATTTTTTGCCTTTTTTTAATATACCTTTTATATAACTTTTATATATCCTGAGTATTCTTAACAAGCATGCTTGTAATTCCTTAAGTCTGATAATTTAGCATAGCCCTAGTAGTCTGTTAGGCCAGGAGACCAAACATCCTGAAGGCCTTGTGGTAGGAGGCCAGAAAACTCTACAGTGTCTTTGGAAACCAAGGTCCTCTCTAGAACATATCCTGTAAACTAGAGATTCGACTCATCCAGGGGGGAATTCCATGGGGGAATATCACACCATTCATCCAGGCCTTCCATTGGAGCACCCTTGTAAGATATGCTAATTTGTAAGGTCTATAAATTGTATACACCATCTATCATGGGGCTGCATTGCGGTGCATCCCACCTTGGTGCCTTGGGGCACCGTAAGGATTCTTACTAAATACTGAGGTAAAACCCTCAACCCTTAACCCTGTCTGGCTCTCAATTTTTAAGACCAGGAAAAGGCGTCATGTAGAGCCAGAGGCTTCCATTCAAACACAATCACAACACAAGTCAGCACACAAACAGCATTTCTGCAACAATGCAAGAATCAGTCTGGTACCAGATGCTCTCCCTCCTGAATACACCTGGTCACAACATGCTGCTCTCCTGCTGTAACAACTTTCCAGCTCTTCCTCTTTTCCTAGTTTTGAGGCATAAACAATATTGGTCATGTTGCACAGCAGTATTGCACACAAAATATTTTTCCATAGTTCCTTCCTCCAAGGAAAAGTATTCTAATTATAGGAATTACTCATAATTATATCCTTTCTGCAACACAAGTCACTGTTAGTTCATTTATCAAAGTATTTTTGAAAAACTGCTGACTGACCCATTGTCCTCAGCAATATAAGTGACAGGCATAGACAGGGTGGAGACAACATTCACCTCCTGACACTTCTAAACTTCACGAAAAAACACAGCAAAGAGCTGAATCTCAGTAAAACTTCATCTCACAGCATTTTCTGAAGAAGCCGGGGAATACTTTTCCCAGGTAAGGCTGTGAGGCTAAAACACAGAAATTATGTGAATGGTCTGGTAAATTATTTTTGTATATCCTCCTCTTCCTCTTTTCAGGTCAGAAGACAGTTCTGATGAACCAGAAGGACTGCTGGAAGACTATGTCCATAATAACTTGTGTCCTCCACGTTATGAGGAAATATACCCTTTTTCTTCATAAAATCATCATGGACAAGAGACAACGATCCTAAGAGATGCTAGCAAGAATCCCAAAAAATCTTCTTTAAATACTTGTGTGATAAGACATTGTGAGCAAGTTCTTGATATTCATACACAGTATCACTGAAGCTATTTAACTGACCGCTTCCTTTTCCTTGTCAAAATTCTTTAGCCCTTTGCAATGCAGCTTAATAGCAGAGCTGTTAATTATTCAATGGCTAAACTATTAATAGCAAAGCTATTAAACTCAATAATCCAAATCCATATTAGGATTCCCCAACAAGAAGCTTGATTTTCAGACTTGCTGAAACCAGGGTGAACTGTGAATGCACAATATGTTTGTGGAAGATCATGATTGCTCCTGGACATCCAGCATCTTTAGAAAATATTTGATTTTTTCTTGAGGTATTTTCATTCTTGATTGCTTGGGAAACTTCAAAAGTGCTCAAGTGTCTGATCCATGAAAGTGCATTTTATGCCTTAATTTTGTCTGATTCTTTAGAAGAGCTTACTCATTAATAAGTCCAGTCTACAGATTAGACTTTCTCAGGTTACTTTACCTGGACAACCAGTCCTGTTGCACAGCCCAGTCCTGTAGGCATCTTTTTGGAGCATCCTGCTTGAACCAGAGCATCTCAGAACAGAGAAAACAAATAGTGACTTCTGACAACTTTTACACAGATCTCTAAGACATCTTGCATGCATGAAATTCAGTTTCCTTTCTTGCCTGACAGGAGGCAAAGCACAGTCTGCTGCCAGGAGTCCTAATAACTATGAAGTTAATGTCACTAAAGAAAATGGCATCTTTCTGAAGCCTTGACAAAGATGTTTCATCCTGGCACTGTTAAGGACTTTGACAATCACAGCTGCTGCACCCCACTCTGTGGGGGGGCTGTGGTGAAACACCTCTGAGGTCCCTTCTTATTTGAATGTGGGTCTTAGGCACACAACCCAGTCTGCAGGTTGCCCCCAGAGTATTAGGAAACTGTGGGTTGTAGTAAACTTTCTTGTTCAAGTTCAGTTTGGTTCCATGCGTTGAATCCACAAAAATTTGAGATGAGCTCATTTGATTAGAGAATGGTGTTCCTGAACACTGAGACTGTGGGTTTGATCCCCATATGGGCCATTCACTTAAGATTTGGACTTGATGATCCTTGTAGCTTCCTTCTAATTAACAATATTCTGTGATTCTGTGAAATATATTTACAGCTGTATTTAACAAAAGATGAAGTGTATTAGTTCCAAAATTTTGCAATCCAGAACGAAGATCCAAAGAGGCTTTGCTCAGGAACTTTTTAAATCCCAGAGCAATGACAATGCAATGAGTCCCTACATTTTTATTTTGTTTTTCCACATATATTTCAGGTTCTGCTTTTCAATGTGCCTAGAAGTGCAACAAGCCAGTATTTCCCTATGATGATCCCATTAGGTCTGCTCATCTCCCTCAAAGCAAAAGCTGATCTCAGCTCTCACCTGCTGGAGTGGGTACCACACAAAATGCCCTGGAGGGCAGTGGTCACTGTCCGAAGTAACCAAGCGGTGCACTGCTGGTGTGCCTGTGGGTCAGTCTCCTGGCCTGGCACAGCACAGCTAAAAGCAGGCGTCCATTATGGAATGCATCAGCTTTCTCTTACTTGTCAATGCAGCTGTCTTGGCTCTCGTCAGATTTCATCCACCTGTGACTGGTCTCATTCTTGGGAGCTGGAGAATTGGCATTCTCTGATTCTTGGCATTTAGCAGAGACAGTTGCACAGACCTGTTGTACTTCTGTGCAGCAGCCCTAGCAATCAGGAGACATAGCTCTGGATGGAGATGTGCATTCAGAACATTGTCCAACTGCATGGACCTGCAGGTGCATACCTCCCTGTCCTGTGCACTTAGAGGCTGTAAGAAATAAAGCACGGGGGGGGCACAAAACAACCACCGTGCTCCAGAGTAATGGACAAGACACTGACAGGGGTCATATTTGGGACGCAACATTTGAACAGACTCAAAGCTGGATTAGCAACTGCAGCAGCAGCTATTGAACAGTGACTGCAAACTTTGTGTGAGGTTTTTCTCCTTAGAGAAATATGGAACACACTGTTTTTCAGCAGCGGTGGCCTGGTGTTAGCAGGTAGTTGGAGAAGGGGAGGCACGTGTATTTGGAGAAGGGGAGGCACGTGTAGCTGGAGAAGGGGAGGCATGCTGTGTTCAGCATGATCTCTGTGGAACTGAGTGAGAGAACAGAAGACCTAAAAATAAATGCAAGTTTCTGTTATGGAAGTGTCTTGCTCCTTTTCTGGAATTTACACAGAGGTGAATTCATCCTCCCTCCACAGCAGGAAACTGGATGGTCCCAAATCCCCAGTTAGTTCCACATGTACAGAGCCCTGAACTTAGCACATAATTGTGCTGAATCCAGCAGGCACTGCAGTAGCACAGAGGTCAGGCTTGATGGATCCAATTGCAGGAGTAGGGTCAAAATTTCTGCCCAGTTACCCTCCCCCACCACAAGAAAATTCCTTCAGTCAGACACCACATATTTTTTTCCTGCTGCTCTTCCCTCCTCCCTCCCTCCCACCCCCCTCCCCCCCGGCGTAAGTTTCATGAGGTAATTATATCTTTATTTTTATTACATCAAATAATACTGACAGAGTAAATGGAAGAAAACTCAGAAGGGTGCACTGTGGACTCCATATTGATTTTAATGTTTACTTCTAGCTGCACTATATTAATTGTAAAGAATTGGAAGAGTCCTGGGTTTCTCTTTAAAGAGAAGATTAAATAATAAGTTTAAATAGCTATATTGAAATTACCTTGACCCATGAGATGAATTCTGGCTGAATTCTGTGGGAGTCTTTTGAGAAACTCCAGGGTGGTGACAGTTCCTTGCTGTACTGAGTGCTGATCATCAATTTTAAGAACAGAGACATGTTCTATAAAGGCATTTTCCTCCTTCTCGTCCTTCCACCTTCTACTTTCCTCCTTTTTTTCTGTTTTGTCTTTTTAATTAAGGGTTTGGGGGCTTGCTCTCTGTGTGTGTGTGTTTTCTTTGTTTGTTTGGATTTTGGAGGTTTTGGAGGTTTGTTTGTTTGTTTTTACTGTGATATATAACCATCACATGAACTCACTTCTTAGCATTAAGAATTCTTTCTGCCCTATGAGGAGTGAAAGAACAAATCTATTTGGCCTTCAACCAAGGTGAACTGTCACAGCCCTTCTAGATTATACTGATGTAACTTCACAAAACACCTGGAAGACTGTATTTGAGATTTTTCTCAATCCATTTTTAATTTAAGATGGTGCTCTTTAAGCAAAATTGCATTCTCCCACATTGCAGACCTGCAGAATATTGGGGGGTTAATAGTTTAAGGTGTTTCACATTCTAGTCATAGTGATAGATTGTATGTATTTTCAGCTACGTAACCCTGCGTGGTTTCTTGGGATTTTTCCTAATATAACTCTGTTTATAAGATTTTGATCATATGAAATCAGTAGAGACATGTCTATTGATACAAAACTGAGCATGATCTATTAATTTCAGCAAAAACTCTGCACAGAGCTTCTCTAAGATCAAGGAGCTATTTCCAGACATTGAATGCCACATGGTGCAGCATGCGAATTTCTTGTCAGATTAAATCCAAAGTCTGCTTTTTCACACCGGCGCTGCCGGTCAGTGCGGGGGTCCAGCAGGAGCGGTTTGCAAAGTGCGCTGTGCCTCAGCAGCCGAATTTCCCCATCTGCTGCCGCTGCTGACGGCGCCGCTCCGCGCGAGGGATGCTCCCCAGCGCAGACCACGCTCGGGCGGGGGCGCTGAAATCCTTCTGGGAGCTATTTGTAAACTGGGTCGGGATTTAGGAAATCTGGGTCTCGGGGAAAAAAAAAAAATAAACCTGTAAGTAGGGCTCGTTCCTCTCCAGAGAGCCCTAGTGACGCACACGGCAGGCCCTCGGCACGGCGCGGGGAGGGCGCTGCGGCCTCCATGCCGCGCGGAGCCCGCGCCCCGCTCCCTCAGGCCGCGCCCCAGCTGGGCCGCGGGGCTCCCGCAGGCCGCAGCGGCGCTTGCCCGCCTGTCCCGCCGCGCCGGCAGCGCCAGAGGGCGCCGGGGCCGCCCGGCCGCGGAGATGCTGTGCCGGCCCCCGTCTCCGCTCACCCGCCAGAGTTAAAACTGGGCGGGTTTAAGCAGATGTATTTCCCCAGTGACCCGACGGCAGTCAGAGGCGCAGAGCCGGCAGTTTGTAAGCGGCCCCTCGTTGTGAGACACCCGCATTTCAGCCCCGGGATCCGAAGCTTTTGTCCTTTACTTCGAATACTCAAGATGCCTTTGAAAAGTATCCTGTGCTCTCTCACAACTGAGAGCTGGCTTACTCAAGAACAAAATACTGGTGGTGAAAGTCCCAGTGAAACCGCCGAAGAGCAGGGTACCCATCCCCGCCCTCACAGCAGCTCTCACACCCCTGGGTGAGACACCCGGGTTGGAGAAATGTGGAAGGACTGCGGCCTGGGCATGGGCGCTGCACAGTGCACTCACATGCACCCCCGTCTCCTCTTCCTCTCCGCCGTGACCTAATGGGACAGGCTTCTGTCTGCATGAAGGAGCAGGGGGAAGTCCAAGGGTCGTTTGCAAAGAACTAGGGCACGCTGTTTGTATACAGCACCTACGATAATCTGTTCCTGCTCCAAGTATCATTACTGGCTCCACTTTAGCTGTCAGGGTGAATAGACATCAACAGGATGTGCTGAACGTCGCTGTTGCTGCCCCATCCCCAACGTGAATCAGTGTGTCTGCCAGAGAAGCATACAGCAGAGCCAGGTGGGATCCCAAGGGCTGTGCCTGCATTAGCTGAGCAGCACTGCTCAGCGGGAGAGGGTCTGGAAAAGGGAAACAGCAGGTGCAGAGAACCCGGTAGCTGCATGCACTGCATGTTGGAGAGGTTTATATCCGATTTACTCCTTAGGACTTGATGCTGATTACCAGTTGAAATACGCATTGTTCTCCTATGGTATGTTTTCTGGTGCAGATTCATCCAATAGAAATTATTCGTCTCACACCTGTGATGTGATGTGATGTGATGTGATGTGATGTGATGTGATGTGATGTGATGATGTGACGTGATGTGGTGAAAAGCTTCACAGAACAGGTGAGGAGTGTCGGGAGTCTCTTAAATACCACCTGATTTAGAGGCACTTGTTGCCTTGCAGACTGGGATGACTTGCAGCAACTGCAAGTGTTGCATGTTGTAGAGCAGAGAAGCTTCTCTCAGCTTCCTGACAGCAGTGAGCTCATGGCAGAGCCTTACAGAGGTTACTTTGAGAGATCTCACAGTGTATTCTTGACACCACCAAAGGTACATATAGTCTAATTTTGAGATGTAGCAGGTTTGTGCCTTCCTGAACAATAATTTCAAAGTGATGAAGAAGTTTTCCCATGGGGAACAGGAAAAATTACTCTCTAGCTGTTGTGGTCTTGTACCTCATTCCTTCTGTGATAACAGCAAAAGGTCAAGGGTAAACCAGTAGTGGCATGATTGTATCTGTGTCGTGTGTGGCATCTCTAATGAGCAATTGATTATATCTACACACGCTATTTAGCAAACACCATGGGACATGTGCTAGCAGACTAGCTGCTGTACATCTCTTATAAAATCCTGGGATGAGATTAATGCTCTCCTGTTTGGGTTTATCCCGTCAGATTTTTTAAAAAAAAATTGTTTATTTTTGCAGATAAATCATCACTCTATATGTAAGATGCTGTGCTTGCTTCTTAGGGAACAGGACATGCTATTTAACAGCCCTGGGTAGATGACCCAATAATTTCATGTTTTGCATAGCTGCAGCGTCCTCTTTATTTACAGTTCAGCGAGTCTGCTCAAGAGCTTAGCTCTAAGGTAAAGCTTCATGCTCTATCAGCTAAAGAAATATACCTAAAGAAATACAGAACAATAATGCAGTCCAAGGTCATGACTTTCAAAACAAACTGACAAACAATCAAACCCAAACCAAAAAGGTGTGCATTTTAAGTTTCTAACCGTGAAACTGGCCGTAGCTTCCATATTAATGGGCAGTGCTTGGGGTACCCTTCTTTTTTCTCTGCTGCTCTTCAACACAAACCCAGCCAGAAACAGTCAACACTAGTGTTCAAGGCGTCATTGGTTTCTTACATTGCCTTTTGTTCCTAGGCACCTGCCACACATCCCTGTGGTCAGCTGACAGAGCTTTGCCTCACACAGAGGCCTGGCAAAAGCTGGCAGTTAGAGAAGGTTGTGATTTGCACCTCTTTGCTATTTTTGTTTGTCACCATTTGTTCTTCACCATTTAACATTCCACCTTCTGGATTTATGTAGAGCAGGACCACAGTTGCCACAGCACATGCTTCATGAGAACTGTTTCATTATCTTTTTCAAAAAACATATGCATTAGATAACCGTTTAGCCTCACTCCCCTTAAACCCTATTAAGGGAGGGAAAAAAATAAACTAAGACTTCAGCAAAAATTATCTCCTCTGAACTCTAGAGGTGCTATAGGATTCTTTTTTTGTCACAAAACAGCAGTTCCCTGAAAAATCTTTCATGAAAACATTAGGAAAGAGGCAAATTATTGGAAATATATATATATATATATATATAATCCATCAATTTGTGGTCTTACTTATTTTGATAATATAAGAGAAGATAAATATTCTTTTTCCTGTATCAGTTCAAATGAGGCATTATTCTTATTCTATTCCACTTCCCCAGATTTTGCTTTCAAACCAGAGGTACTTGAGTGGAGTGTTTTGCAACGTGCCAACACTGCACTATTGTAGTGCTTTCTATGTTGTTCTGATCTTTTGCAGACTGACAGGTGTTTTGTCCTTTTGCCCTCCACACTGACTGGACAGGGACTCATCAGAACACCTTTAGACAGCACTGTGCTGCAAAAGAGCAAACATAGATACACATGAACCCAGCACACACATGCAAAGTGGAGAATGACTTGTTTAAAATAAACTTTTGTAGGGCTGTGTCAGTGGGAGCTGGACTAATGTGCCAGTTGATGAGAGTGTGCAGCACTGGGAGCATCAAAGTGGAAAAGATTCGTACGACTCCTGCTGTGGTAGGCAACTGCTCAAGCCCTTTCATAAATTGTTCAAGCTCGATTTTAGAGTCAGTTAGTATTTGGTTCTGCTTTTAATGGAAGGTAGGAGAAAGTCAAAAAGAAAAAGAAAGACTGAACATGGCCAAGAAGAGAAAGGCAGGTAATGGTTAGAGGGAAAAGAATAAACTCCTTTTATGTATT